GGCCCTCTTTGGCCCCCGGGATTTCCCCCGCTTTTGCCTCCCCTTTTTTAACCCTCGGAATTTCCGAAAGTTTTTCCTCCCCCGGTTTTCGCCGCGGAAAAAAAAAAAAAAACCCCAAGCCCCCCAAATTTTTCCCAAGGTGGGGTTTTCGTTTGGTGTTTACCCCCCCCCCCCCCCGAGCGGGACCCCTTTTTGAAACTCCTGCCCCCCCCCCCCCCCCGTCGGGAGAGCCCTTACTGTAACCTTTGATCAGGAAGTGCTCGTGCTGTTTATCCCGCTAAAAGACTGGCGTCTGATCATTCTCATTGGTCAGCCTGTTAGAGCTGTCGATTCTAAGAACAAACACACACACATACATTTAGGCAAAGCGAAACACACCTGCTTCGACACGGCGAGCGCATGCTCCTTCTCCCCCAAGCCCACCCGCTGGGCGTCCACGATGCCGCGGTACCGCTCGAAGCTAAGGAAGGTCTCGAGACCTTTCTTCTCGCGGTGGTCCCCAGTACCCTTTCGAGCCGTGGAACAAAAAAAGAACCCAAAATAATCGCAGCGCCAGCGTGAGGCGTGGCGGGGTGGAGGTGGTTATCGATCGACAGTCGTGCCGTTGCGGCCGGCGAATAAGAAACGTCCATTTGGAGTCGAGGCTCAACGTCTTATTTCGTCGCCGCCATCAAGCATAGGTCACTGAATCCGGTCCGAGTGTAGGTCCACGGTTCAGGCGTGTTTCGCAGTCACTTTTTTCCAATTTTGTGAACTTCTAAAAATGGTTTTCTCAACTAATACATTCTTCTTTTGAAAGGCGGAGAGATATGTACGTCACGCCGCCTCGCCGGCGGCGGTACTGGTGTTGTACAGAACGGGCCCGCAGTTAGGAAATATTTTGACAAGAAACAGAGGTTCAAAAATTTCCACGAAACGAGAAGAAAATCGGGCTAAGAAACACACGTCGGCGGTGGATCTCAAGACTACACTCTGAATAAAACTCTGCGCTCGACGCAGCAGTGGCGACGAAATATGAAACTGAGCCTCCGGCCGATTTTCAGTATGTCCGGGCCCGTTCTGTAGGGTAGCGAAGTCGCTGGTAAGAGAAAAAATAGCGGGTGAGCGTGTTTACCCGATAATGGGGGAGGGGGGGGGGGGGGCGCGGAAGTCTAACCGGAGTTGCTGTTGCTCGTAGCAATTTGAAGGTCTGCGCAGAGCCGAGGGGGGAGGAATCGAGAATAACTCAAGCCCGCATTCATGTGCTCGCCAGCCACATAGAAAAGATAGAAAGCAGCACCAGCAGCGAGACGACCACAACACACAACCAATCACCTTCGGCGACAGCGGGACCATGTCCAGCACGGCTCGGGCGTCGAACCTGTCGATCAGGACATCGCGCCGGCCGTTCCAGGGCATTAGGGCGCCTTCTACGACTGCTCCCGCCGCTGGGTCTCTGTAAAGCTGTTCAGAAAATTCGAGAGGAAATGGCAAGAGTATGCCACAACACCGAAGCAACAACACGGCGGTTACACCTGGGTGTAGCGAGAAATCGAGAGGGGACGGCACATGCCACAACCGAAGCACAAACACGGCGACCACACCGGGTGTAGCGCGATTACACCCGGTGTGGCGCCAGAGGACGGTTGTTACTGCTGTACAGGTCGAAACAACACATGGACGGTTACAGCAGTACTCGCGTGGACGATGCGGCAGAAGAAGCTTCCGAGAAAACACGGCAGGTATGAGCTCGGCGGCCCACCCGGCCATGCCAAGCCTCTGTGGACTCCCCCACGTGGTGGTAGCTTTATCGGCTATGCATGTAGACCCAAAGACAAATGTCACTGCTGTGGAGATGGCGCCCCCCGCATAGTAGCTCAGCAGCGGCTATGCACGTAGACCCAACAAGAACATAATGCGGTGCGAGCAGCAGCGCGCCAATGGGGGCAACGGCCTCTCTCTCTCTCACCTTGCAAGGTCTCCCCTCGATGATGAGCGACTGGTGATGGTCGCGGCTGTGAGCCCGTTGAAATTGCTTCATTCGTTCCTTGCGAGCCTGCGGCGGCGGCGGCGGCGGTGCACGACCGTGGCGGCGAATGTGGGCAGTGAAAAAAAAAACAGCAGTGCGGAATGGCCACGATGACAGCTGGATAGCTGATAAACAGCAGAACTCAGGCCTCAGATCGCATTGCGGGTTCCAGAGAGGGTCGAGGTTACGCGTGAAGGGGTCGTGTCGTGCAGGCCAAGGGAGGAGGGTGGAAAGAGGCCTGGATAGAGACGATCGTGCGATGCATACGAAAATGCCACACCGTTCGTTGGGTGTGTCAGCAATTGCACACCTATCTATAGCACGTGTGACAGACATGCGTGGGAGAGTAAACATCACACTTGCCCCCCCCCTCCCTCTGTCTCGAGGAGGGTAGACGTGCTGCCATCTGGTGACATTTGCTTGAAAGGGAGCGTTTTCTCGCGGCCTCTCCAGGATCCACTTAGAAGCTAAATACCCGCGGGGTGATGATTCAGAGGAAATGGTGAAATGGTGAGAATTATTTCAAAATTTCCGATCGTACACAATATACAGGCTGGTCTCTGTGTCGAGGTTGGGCCGCCACACAAGTGAGCAGAAATGTACACAATCCGCACAGCTTGCATGCGTGGGCTGCTTGTGTTCGTGGTGTGGCTGCGTTTCAATCTGGAGCAGGTGCAAGTGCACCCTCTAGGGCTTGCGGTGGACGTGGGGGGGGCATGAGGCATGAGGCTAGCATCACAAAGCCAGCGGTAACGCGCAGGATCGCTTCTTACCTTGTTTTCCTTGGCGTGCTTCCGAAGCCATTTATCATGTTTCCTTGCCTCGTAGTAGTAGTCCGCCATGATTACCTCGCGAGTTTTGGCCTGCTCTCTCAGCAGCTCCTCGTGCAGCTGACCGACTTGCTGTTGCTCTTGCCGTGTGCGTGTCAAATGTCCGTGTTGGATGGGGGGCCAAAAGATGAGGTTCTATGTAAGGTCAGGGGGGGATGTCCCGAATGATTCTGCGGAGATGAGCGGCCGCCCCCCGTCTCTTTGGTATTTGTACGCGTGGCTTGTGCTGGGTGTGCTGCACCGCCACTGCTGTCTGTCCTTCTCTATCTCTTCGCGATGGAAGGACTTCCGCTTGATGTTATCCTGCTGGTGTCGATCGGTATTGTGGCTGTCACCTCGCTCGTGGTCTACATACGCAGAAAACTGGCTTCAAATGACCAGGTACAGCAGTGTAGCCAGTTTGAAATATTACCTGCAGAAGTTCCACCGCGTTTGTGTACAGCGTACAGCAGCAGCAGTGTATCTACCAGAAGGTAAGGCACTGACTTCTACATCGCCGTTTAGAACAGCACTCGTTGAGGTTATCACACACACGCCATGTCCAGAACCTAGTGCCTCCTGCATGAATGAGGCGCGCCTTGTTGTCCTCAAGCAATACGCATCGACGAGTCAGACTGACAGATGCTCTACACTCACTGTTTTGCCTAGGTTGGAGGCAGAAGGTTCCTTGACCCCTCGCTAAAGAGCCCTTGTAAAGTGCGGCGGGTTTACACATCGCCATCCGGAACACAGATGATCTCCTTTGTGAGGGAAAGTATCGGACAACCCGCCCCTGCACAATTCTTCCTACAATATGCTTGAAGTAATAACAGAGGCATCCAATCCAGCAAGTTTGGACACGAAGAGAAGCAGCGTAACATGACCGTACAGTAGTCAATGCCGTGGTGTTTTCACTACTTGCTGTAGACTGTCAGCTCGAATATCAACAATTTACGTGTATGCGAGTCCTAACAACGCGACGCACACAACATGGGGAAGTGTCGGGGAGGCGAGCTCCGAGCACCTTGAGTTCATTCGTTCGCGGTGATTCGTTTTTGAAACTAACCGAATTAGGGGCCTCGTGCCGTAAGAGCTACAGCAGTTCAGCGAGAGCAAAGAAAACGTTCGGTCGTCACAGTAGGCCTACAGAACCTTCGATCGCCAGGCTACCGAGCTGCGAGGAAGGGGAAGTTCAGACGGCGGTCATGTTTCGCAACCAGATGGGAGTATCTAGCGCCGTACTGTTTATTTTGTAGATTAACCTTCGTGCTCGCGTCGCACACAGGACGAAGGAGGCGTTGCCGCCGCCGCCGCCGCCGCCGCAGGAGTAGATGGGGCAAACAGCGACACAACTCCCGGCAGGCTCACAAGACATCCGGGCGGGGAGTGCCCGATATGCCTCTCGATCGAGGTGGAAACCCCCGTGCAAACGAACTGCGGGCATTGGTTCTGCGCCAGGTGAGGAAAGGCCTGTGTCGGAACGTCGAAACCGACGAACAAAATCGAAAATGCCCCGAAAGGGACCAACCTACAGCAATGTCAGATCAAACCACCGAGCCCCTATGTCTTAAATCGCGGCTTTTCTCCTAGGCTGGGGGCTTCGGAGAGCAGCCATGCGGTACGCGCTGGTAGCTCCGCGAGTGCATGTGTACCAACGCGTTTGGGCGCGCAGGACGTATATGCCTGTGCGCTACTAGGATAGTGCGAGGCCGATTCGCTTTCTACGGGTTGAATAGCGTAGGGCCCACTTCAAGCAAGAAGCTAACACGTACTTCGTACCACGTATGGCCGAAAAGTTTTTAAGGGTCGTTGGCTCTCCATGCAATGACGTCGTGTGCCCTTCTACCAACCTTCGGTGGACTATTGGCCCAGGTGTATTTTGAGCTACTACGATCAAGGCGGCAGGGTGCGCATTCGGTGTCCAATGTGCAGGCAGGAGGTGAGTCTCGGAAGGATGCTCGGTTTCGGAAGCACCGAACGGATACCCTCGCGATCAGCATTATTTCCTGGGACGATTTGGTGGGGTGTCAACCACTGAACGTCGAAAAAGATCGGCGCGCCAGCTTCTCTTGCGTGCTCGCCGGCACACGCTGAAATCCACGCACCAGCGCTGCCCCAGGCCGCAAGAATCACAAACAGCGGCTTTCTCTTGTCTCGATCGATGCCGGGCCCGCATCAGGTTACCATGCTGTACGGAGCGGCAGGAGACGCACAGGCCGCTGGCGACACCGATGAAGCCCACGACGCAAGAGCCGGATCAGCACCGGCGACAACGACCGGCTCCCCGGAGATTCAGGAGGAGATATCCAGGTTCAACGACCGAAACTCGGGACGGTGGAGATCGCCGTGGCAGGTCATCGAGGACGCCCCGCTGCTGCTCCGGCGGTTGTGGTCGGACCTCAGCCGGGGGGACACTCGGGTGTTCGGCGAGTTGATGCGGAGAGGGGTGCAGCTGCAGCTCTTCGTGGCCGCCTTGTACATTCTGAGCCCGGTGAGTGGGTGTCTTTTTCTCGCGGTGAAGGGACGCTTGTTGGTTGGCGAGTGTCGGCCCGGAAATCTAAGCCTGCAAAGGCGTTCGGACGCCGGCTGGGCACGCACGGTTAAGGAAGGGCCTGCATAAAAACTTATGTACAGCAGTCGCGACCGTACGTGCATCGGCACAAATGTTTATTTTCCACTCACTAGGCACGTTTTCGGTACCCCGACTTTGTCGCCTCACCTTCGCCCACCCCCGTCCCCCCATGCCTCTGTACTTTTGCCGCGAACCTTCCAGATCGACGTGATCCCCGAGAGCCTGGTCGGAATCGCGGGTCTCCTCGACGATCTGGTAGTCGTGGTCTTCCTGCTGCTCCACCTCACCTCCGTGTACCGCACGGTTCTGCTCTCCTGGGAAAGGTCGAGAGCAGCGCGCGCCGAAGCCGCTGCTGCTGCGGCCGCGACGGCAACTGCTTCTGGTGCCGAAGCCGCCGCCGCCGCCGCCGCCGCCGCCGCGCCCCCCGCCGCGGTCGCTTCCGGCGAGGGCAGGTTCGACAACTCCCCCCAGGGGGCCGGAATGGCGGCAGTGCTCGCTCTAATGGTGGGCGCGCTGTTGGCGCTCGCGGGGGGCGGGGAGGGGCAAACGGCGATGGCGGCAGGGGCGATGGGGGCCGCGGTGGCGGCAGCGGCGGAGCGCTATGGGTCAAGGGCGCCGCGGGCGATGCCACCATTGGCTGGGGATTGGTAGTTGTCGTCGTGGGGGCGGTTTCGAGCGAAAATGGAATTGGCGTGATTGCGATTCCGCTGTAGAGGAGTGAATCATAGAGCCGCTGCTTGTCTTTAATTTGCTGGCGGTGATGGGGCGCGAGGCGGCCTGCCGGCGAGGGTTGGGGCGGAGAAGCGTTTCCAGGTGGAACTGGTTTGGTCCAGCAATAGGTGTCTGTCCGTTGTGAGGATACGAGCAATACTGTTTATTCAACATTTGGGCGCCACCCCCATTGTCACCATCAGTGTGAAGCGCATCCCTGGAGGTTCGTGGTTATCACGCCTGATTGTTGCTGTAAAGCATGGGCGACGCAATCGGGGTGGGTGGACGGGGGGTGGACAGCGAGTCTCGCGCTGGCAAGGTGGGTAGGAAGGTAGCGGCACGTGGTGCACCATTTGGCCATCCTCATTAAACGTTCCCGATGTTGGAGATGTCAAATTCCAATCCGAATAGGATTGGTTTCTGCTGCAGAAACAGAAGAACCTACTTCGCAGCAAATGAAATCTTGACCGAGCTTTTTTCATCACGGCCGACTTGTCGCAGCTCGCGAAAGCTACGCGAGCACGAGATCGTGGCGGTGCGTTCGCGCGACCTACGCCTCGAGGGCCCTGTCCAAGGAATTTCAATCGAGGCGACAACAGTGCCAAGCGCAAGCATTGTGTCTTGCTTCTGCCCACCCCAGCATCCTTTTGACGTCTGTGCAAGTCTGTGTAGTGTAAACGTGCACTGCTGTTCCAACCGTTCCAGTTCTTGGGGAGGGACGGCGTTGGAACCTTGCGCAAGACCAGTTTTTTGTCGAGCCGCGCGCAAAAACCCTTCTTCTCCCTCGAACGCTGCACAGCAAAGTAAGTGTGGTTGGTCGAACGTTGTCCCACGTCGCGGAAAGCGGTCAATCGACGGATGCTAAATCATGCACACAATGCAAATGCAATCTTGGTGAATAGACTGAGCTCCGTATCTCAGCGTAAACTGCGGTCTGCTGTGTGCATATTGTACGACGTACGACAAACCCTACCTACCATGTTTGTTTAGAAAGAGCTTATCCTACTAAATGCTCTGTCGCTCAATGACCACGCACACACCCCAACTGCACCATTCGGCCCACCATGCATACCACGTAGGAAACTGAGGTTCCCGAAGCTCTCTGTGCGCCCTTACCGCGATCATGCACAGCACAGCTGGGTCGCGGGGTCGATACGCATCAGGTAGACAAATGGCCAGGGTCAAAATCCTCTAGAGGATAGGTGAAACCGCAACCCTCAGAGGATTGCCCAAAAAAGCGAAAGCTCTGATTTGGTAAAAAGGTTATCCCCCAAGAGGAAACCCGATTTTGGACAGTGTCCTCCAGAGCTTTCGGTGGGAGGGGTTTCCTCTGGGGGGATAACCTTTTAACCAAATCAGAGCTTCCACTTTTTTGGACAATCCTCTAGAGGATTGGGTTTCACCTATCATCTGGGGGATTAGGTAATGTTTCCTCGCCGTGGATAATTGCAAACAAATCTCTAGAGGGGTGGTAAAAAAAAATTCTGAGAGGAAGGGGAGGTGAAAATTCTCTGGGGGGTTGGGTAATGTTTTCCCCGCCGTGGATGATTACTAAGGACAACCTCGAGAGGGACGGCCAGAGAACTTCCCCGAGAGGAAGTGGGGGACAATTAGTGTCCAGGAGGATGTGGTGATGCGTCTCTTCTAGGGGAGGCTGCTGGGAACAACGCACGTGGTCTTGTTCACGTCAACGTGTTGCCCCTCCCTAAAAATGCCCTCGTGTCGTACACTACGCGCGTTGCATATAGTTCATCACTTAGAAGCGACACGCACCAGGTAGGTGAGAACAGAAAAGCAATAATATATAGCGTACAAAGGAAGTGCCACAGCCGTTGATATTGAAGCAGGTCTGTGTGCTTTCTTTTCTCTTTTTTCCCAAATAACGAAATACCTTACGACTCACCACGGAATGTGCATCCCAGCAACGAAAAGCAAGACGAAATTCATGACAACGACGAAGGAAAAGGGCTACCTATATATACGAACGTGCTTGTTAGAACTGCCATCAACAAAAACGAAAAATATCTACACCAGAGGGTACGGAGCACTATACTTGGCTGCGCTCACACCGCCCAATATTGTGTCGCTAAGTTTCCCCGCAACGGAAAAGTACCGAAAGGAGCGAGAGCGACGAAGAAAAAGGACTGAGATAATTCCCCTACAACAGCAGCGCAAAGTGCTACTACTTTGCTGCTATTTGCACTGCCAGCATTCCTGACATCGCCACGCTGCAAGACGACCCCCGCCAACTGTGTGTGCATGGTATTAGTACATGGAGTTGCTGAAAACATCACTAACTATACACGTACAGGCATATTGCTGTGCCCGAAAAGCTACGACTAAAGAAAAAACACCATCCATGGGGCTCATGTGCTGGACGAACCCACCCAACCTTTATTTGGTCACTATGCCTCGCGCTGTGATACGGAAGATTACTCCAAAAAATACTTGTGCGACGTCTTCCAGCATGCTTAGTCAGCCTTACTACCAACCGCGGTAACGTCGAGGCGGGCGAGCCATCGTGGCCCGACCAGAATCCTCACC